AACAACAATACTAATTAAATAATAATAATAATAATAATAATAATAATCTATATTATTAAGAGAATAAGAAAAATTTTGTGGCCAGTGTATTTATATGATAAAATGGGTTTTTGCTTGGAGTTATGCCTTTTCAAGGTTTCATATCATTCTCACCAATAGTCAATTTATTATAATAAGAATTTAGGTTGCATTCGAAAATACTGTGTGTCTAGATACATAATGAAGAAATGACTTTGTATCTGGTAAACTATTGACATTTTTGAAGATGTATGCTTATCTATATTCTATTAATTAATACTACATTCATATTATATTTAATATTACACTAGAATTCAAATTTACGCGCGCAAGCGCGCGCCTTGACTATAGAGTTTGCATACTTAAATGAAAGCTCTCGATGAGTGTAACATCGAGATGAGCTTTTTTTTTTTTTTTTTTTGGGCGAGAGGAGGGAAATCTTCATAAGACACCGGCTAGATGTTGGAGATATTGGTTGCCGGTAGTGTGAGATTCTTACTCACTAAAACCCTCCCCTCTCTTGTACCTGATACTGCGGGACCGCGTTAGCATTACTTCGCAGTACCAGGCCCCCTCCAAGCTACTCCTGTAGCTATTTCCTCCTGTAGCTATTTCCTCCTGTAGTTATTTTCCTCCTGTAGCTATTTCCTCCTGTAGCTATTCCTCCTATATAGTCCTGTAACAGGACCCTCCGTTTTTGCGGCTGTGGCCGGCTTACAGTCTGTACCCGCATTTGCCTGTGCCCCGCTTATTTTAGGGGCACAATGACCGAGGAAAAACCACAGAAACCTGGTCAAGGTACAGTCGGCAAGGGAGCAAGCCCCGGAAATCGCAGAAGAAAAATTGCAATTGCCAGGGCTCGAACCCACGCCTGAGCGACTGCTATGCGGCAGTTTAAGACTTAAACCCCTCGGCCAAGCAGTCGCCTAAACATCGAGATGAGCTTATATCTTAAAAAATGTCAATAGTTCACAAGATACAAGGTCATTTCTCAATTATATGTTTAGAGATAGAGCATTTTCGAATGCAACCTGAATATCTATCATCATAAATTGACTGTTGACGAGAATGATATGAAACCTTGAAAAGGCACAAATTCAAGTCCTTGCAATGACACTAAAAGAATCGATTTCATCATGTGACTATCCAGGAGATAAAATTGTTCTTATTCTCTTAATAATATAAATTATTATTATTATTATTTAATTATTATTGATGTTGTTTTAACTATTATTGCCTATCACATGAAAATCATGTTGCTGTCACATGAAAGTCATGTATCTTCCACAGGAATGTATCATGTGGTAGTCCCAATTTTTTTTTCCGTGTAAGATTTAAATCTATATATTGTGGGAACCATTCCTATACTATTATGGGAATGGTTCCCATAAATTATGGAAACCATTCCTATAATAGTATAGGAATGATTCCTATAGCATTATGAGAACCATTCCCATAACATTATGGGAATAGTTCCCATAATATTATGGGATTAGTTCCCATAATGATATAGGAATAGTTTCTATAATAGTATAGGAATAGTTCCCATAACTTTCTTTCCGTATACGAGACATAATTTGATATATAACGCTAAAAAAATTCGATTTTTAGTTAAGTACAAAGCAGTCTCTATAGCTCTAGCTAAAGCTGTGCAAAATTGCAATTAACTTTAAATTTAACATTTTATTTTACCTCGGCTAATTTAACTTAAAAAAATAAAATTTAATATAAATTGACTTTTGTCTGAACAGAATTTATTGTAAATTTTAATGTTCAAAAGGATACTGAATATTTGAAATAACTTCATGCTCGACAAATTATCCAGACACACTATATCGTACAAAAAGTAAAAGTAAAATCCGAGTGAGTTAAAATCGATAATAGAGCCGAGGTACTTTTTGAAATGAATTATTTTTTTACTTATTTTGTGCTTTGTAGGGCACGGAATAGATAACAGAAAAATGTGGAATGAAAATGAAGAATAAAGAAAAAAAAAAAACAGTAACCAAGAGGAGGAGGAAGAAGAAAAAGATGAAGCACAAGGTATAGTAGGTGGATAGCTAGGTAGGTAACTCATTGAGCGAATGAACGAGCAAGTGAGTAGACGAGTTGAATGAAGCCGGATCATATTTTTAAGAAGCAATTTCGTCACAAATCTGTAACGCCGCAGCTGGTACTCAGTCGTTTCCGACATCCTTGCGAAAAAGAGGAGCATCCGACAAAAGATCACGATGAAACGAAACCCGGGTGGGTCTCGGGTCTTGGAAAGGCAGGAAAGAGAGCAGATGCAAGGGTGCACAGAGAGTAGTACATAGTTGGTAGTTTCACTAGTAGTAGATAGGAGATGGTAGATGGTAGATGGTAAGTTTATATATATGGATATGTATAATGGCTGGGTGGTACGTTGAGTAGCATGAAAATGGGGTAGTTCAGGTTACCCAGCTTAGTCTATAAGAGTGGTAGGACTTAATATACTCAACCCAAGCCAGAGAAGATGAGGTCTCGCTCGCGGACGATAGCGTTCCCATCGCCAGAGGATTAAACCGATTGGGATTAAAGGATTACGAGATTCTACCAAGATTCGTTGCGATTCCCAAAAAGATGTCTCAATACGAGATGTAAAATCACTCTTAAATAAGTGTTATGGCTGTCTTATATGAGATTATTTCCCCTTCAATATTTGGTTAATTTATAGTACTCTATCTCTATTATCTATATCTATTTATCTATATTAAATTTGTAATATAATATTTATCTGTGTTATGAAATTATGTTATGCTAATATTTATCGCCGGTACTTATATCGAAGCAATTCGGCCTCTAACACTTTGCATTCTCTTGGTAATTTTAAAGTTATTGAGATATGTGTATCTAGTTTAATGAAACTTTATGAGATCCTTTTTTCAAGAAATTTCTTAGATTACATTTTACACTTTTTGTAACTATACACGGAGATACTATTATTCATTTTGAATTATTTTTAAATTTAAAGTTAACGCAGGCTAGGTTTACTTTCACATTTATTTTATTTTTTATGTTAGTTAAATATTATTGTTGAAACTGCAGCTAAAAAATAACTTTAAGCTAATGAGATCGAGTTGGAGAGTGTAAATAATATACAAGATAGGTAGATTAGAATAAATTTTGATTTAATTCTTTGAAAATTCGTTTTAGAATTAATATATATGTTTTGATTTATATATAAGCTTGGTCGAATGTTTTTTTTTTTTTTTTTTTTTTTTTTTTTTTTTTTTTAATTGACTTTGGTTGAATAAATTTAAACGCAGATAAAATAACGGAAAAATAATAAACCGTAGAAATCAATAATTTTTCAAGGAATCACGATTGATTACTACAAATTGAAGTTTTGAATAATCAATACTGTTAAGGGTACGTAAAAGTCTCAAAAACAGCAGGCTTTGCAAGGTAAATCTCGAGATCCTGCTGAGGATGAAAAGGATAAAAAACTTAACAAAGCTTACTAATCTACATAATTTGAAATGGTTGTTATTAAATTATATCATGAATAATTTTATTTTTAATAAATAAGTTGGAAAAAATTAAAAATTTAACCAGTAGGTAAATTTAGACTAAAATATTCTAATCTATATAATTAACTGAAATTTTTTGCATTCACACTAACTATTAAATATTCATCTTTATCATCAAAGTGGATGTGAGATGTTAATTTAACATATTCGTTATTAATTTATAATTTGTTATGAGCACATGTTTTGCCACTGTTTAATTTTCAATAATTTTTTTATTTTTATTTTATTTATTTTTATACTAGAATACAAAACATATATACATACATATTACATCGTAGAAATATAAAATGCATGTCCTTACAGAGGTGTTTGTAGACACCTGCGCGTCGGCCCAGTAAGGCTTGTTCACTATATACAATACATTTTCCTGTCATTCATAATTTTATATATAAAAAAAATTTTTATTTTTTTTTTTTATACATACTATGAATAATTATGAAGATATTTAATTTACTTTGAAACATTTATAATTAAATTTAGACGTTAATTATTTATGTTTATTTTCATTTGACAATAACCAATATTTTAATTTTGTTCTGATCGTTTTATTTTTATGTGTAAGAGTTTTTAGATGATTTGGTAATTTATTGTAGTATTTAATGGCAACAAATCAATGGATTATATCAGATTTATTATTTCTAAAATCAATTTTGTAGAGAATGTTGAATTTGCGATATATTGAGATGCTTATTTATGTACTAAGATGTTAAGATGTCTGATGAAGATTCAATAAAAGAGGTCGTGACTCGAATTTTAACCTTTCAAGACTTTATATAGTATTCAGTGATAGTTAATTAATTATATTAAGTTTTTAGAGCAGTTTTGAATAGTTTGTTCTTAAAGTGTGTCCGTGTGACATTTTCCATTAAATTATTAGTAATTAATCTTGTCCTAGTAGTATTAGTTTTTGGATTTATTCAAAAAGTACCCAAACTATGTATATTTTGATGGAAAATATCGAAAAATCATTAAGCCAATTTTTTTTTCATTCATAATTCGTCATTGTTGACAGTCACATAGTGACTGTAAGTTATACTAATTACTCAATTAATTCCAAATAATTAATGGAAATTGTTTGAGCTTTAAATTTAACAGATAGGTCAAAATGATTGAATAAATTATTTGGTTCAAAGTTAGAAGAATTATTGGCCATTTCCGAAATAAATGGTTCAATTTTTTATTAAAAAGCCAATAAATATTTTCTCGTTCAATTTTATTCACTTGAATTATTATCAAACGATTTATCATATGACTATTGACTTATAGGGTATAAGTGTCACAGTGTGACGTTTTGTCGAAGGAGACTTCTAAAGAAATCTGATATAGAAAAGGGGGAGGTCAAAAAGTGAAAAACTTAAGACTAAATCGTGTGAAAGAAAATTATTATAGTAATTACTTATGAGTTTATATTTTATCAAAAAAAAAACTTACATTGTGAATCCAGATAAGTTTTGAGATAGATGGATTTGAATTAATGTGACACTCGAAGTATACATCATCACCCTCCTTGATATCACCGGCATTCAGTGTTGATCCGAGGCTTAATGACACCAGAGGTGGATCTATAAAACAATCACGTATAATTTTATCATAATAAATTCTTCCCTTCTGGTGATAAATGAAATAAGCTTAACTTGTTACGGGATTTCAAATGGACTGGAAAATAATAATCCACTGAAGAATTTTATTACTTATTTACTTTTTAAGTAAACATAGTTCACAAAGCATTTTAATGCTTTTCTATAAAAATTTATCAGCGGGAAACTATTTTAAAATAATTTCATTCAATTTATTTTCTGAGTGATTGAGTTGACGATTTATCTTCACAAAATTCAATTCGTCAAGCGTTGTTGTGTTTTTTTCACCGCTTTTAAATTTCTTACAGATACTCTTACTACTATGAGCTTTAATCGGTGATGTGACATATTAGTAGACATATTATACTAAATCGAAACGATGAGAGAACGAATTTTTTTAAAATTACTGTCATATCAACGGTTGAATGTTATAAAAAGGATTCATCTACTCAATTTTGAATATTTATAAAATATGTAACATTTTCAACATAGAGCGAATTGACTCGTAAAAAAATTCACGATAAAGGGGAATGGGTTCTTTTATTCATGTACTTGTTTTATAACCGAATCATAAACTCGAAACGAATTTTTGATGAATGTTTTAAAAAATAAATTGCCAGTAATGATATTATTTATTTGAACTAAATTTATTCTGCTTTTTTTCCATTTACATTTAATGGATCAATATTCCTAGTTATTTTTTTAATTTTTCAAGATTCAAAAACACTCATTACTTTTTTTTCTGAGTATTTGCGTAATTGCTAATACGTCTCACTCAAGTGAATCTTAATTTAATTGAGATTTTACGAATGTTTTAATTATACAAAAAGATTAAGGACTTTAAATAAAATAACCTAAATAATCGTAAGAATAATTCTTAAAATGAACTCTATTAAAGTGTTCTCATCTTTTTAACCGTATTATGGGAAGGAAATTAGTACCTTTATATTTCTTGTTTTATGTTTTTTTTATAGGAATAAACAATTTTTCAAGTGGGTTATTTTGCTTTGAATTTTGAAAATAAAACTTTGATTCTATTAAAATTATATAGTTTTCCCTCTAATAGGTCTTCTGGCTATTATTCCATGAGGTCATTTGTTTATAAAATAAAAAAAACGGGAGCTACAGTAAAGGAAATATGATTTCTAAGTATCCCATACTATAATTAATTAATTTCGACAGAAATTCATTTAAAGCTATTTGCTTAAATCATGTACTCTACATTGTAAGTCCATGAAAATGTTTTAGGAAAAATTGATTGCAAATACCATTTTTAAATTCACAATAAATTCATTGATTATTAAATTTATGGTAACATTATTTGTTTATTCTACATTGAATAGAAATAAAAATCGACATATCTTAGAATTTTACATTCATGAATAATGATTTACACAGAATAAAAGTTCAGTTGGACCAAGAGAATTAACGAGAAGTAATAAAATATAGTTTTGCTTCAAGTATAAATTTTTTTTTAAACTAAAAACTTCCTTCGGTCAAGAAAATTTAAATTTGTTCAAGATAAGTCGTCCAAGCTAATAATTGTCTTCATAAGTACTTTATTGAGTTCAAAAAATTTAATTTTCTACTCAAGAATTGATCAAACTATTTTTTCAGAGAAATCCGGAGATATTTAAATAAAGTTAATTTTTGTCCAATTCAATAACAACATAAAACTTCCACAAAGTTAACAGAAATTCACAAAATACGTTGACACAATTTTTTCATCTTTAGAAAAAATTTATAATTGATAATTACACTCTTTTTTATGTTTGTTAATTAATTAAATAAGTTATGATACAAATAATCTTTACAGGTAAACATTTTTTCCTCGAAATTAACAACTCACTCCATCATTATTTATATGTTTTAATAAAAATCTTTCTTTTTATTCTGCAAAAAGCAATGTCCTATTTTGTTACAGAGTTCTCTCATGACTCATGATTGATTGAACAATAATATGCATTTAATCGAACAGAGGAACAAAACTAAGTTTGACGAGTGTGTATTGGAATTTGTTATATATTTTAATTAAAATTGATGGAATATGCAATAATTGTAGATAGAACTGGACATTGTACTTTTAAAAACTCCATAACTTATCAAAAGAATTTTATCAATAATTAAAAATTTTAATTGAATGGAATGTCAATTAAATCAGGAATATTATTATTATTATATTCCTTTAAGAACTCAGTAGCTGTTCAGAATTTTTTTTATCTCTTAGTTCTTTTTTATTTTGTTAAGACCATTTCAACGTGAAAACAAGTTTACGGAGAGACTTGTTCCACAGAAAAACTTTTCCTAGCAGCTCAATTCATCTTTTTCTTATTGAATAATATTTTTATTCGATGTTTGTTGTTTTCCCGCTTACGTGAGACGGACCGGGTAATTTTTTCGATCTACTCCCCAGTTGGTTAGACATATAATTGAATACGTGACATGATGTCATTTTCAGGATCTTACCTTTTTTTTCTATCGATCGTCATGAGTTTTGTTATCATACTATGCTTTTTTCTTATACACTAAATTTATAATTCTATTTATCCAATTTTTACATTCCGAATTCTGATCTAGATTATGACCAAGATTTTACTTTTTGGTATTTGAGTATATAGGTCTATTTTTATTAATTATTTAAGTATTAATGGAAATATTTATTATGATTATGGCGGTGATTATTATTTAATTATTGTATGTATTTAGTTAATAATATTATATTAGTGTTACCGAAGGTGTGATTAAATTAAGAAATTAAGCGTGTGAGAATTTATTTTGAAGCCGAGCGAATTAAGCGAGCAAAAGAAAATAATTGTAAAAGAAATTAAAAGACCGGGGAAATTATTCTAAGTCCCAAGCCGATTTAGTATAGGAACTCAACGAATGGATAGAGAATGAACGAAATTACGATTAAAATAATAAAGAATTGTGAATTTGCCGAAACGAATGGATGTATAATGAAAGAAATAACGATTATTATTTTAAAGAATTGTGTTTGAAAAATAAAAACTTAGAAAATTTTCGACAATTGATGAGCTTGCGCGAGCCTCGATAGATGGCGAAGATGTTTCGTTTGTAGTGATAATTCAAAAATATGTTAAGTTCCGTTTTGAAAATGATTTTGACAAGCAATTCTTTCTCTGGAGAATTACTCGGGCGAATACTCTTCACCAAGTAATTCTAGAGGATGATACTCTACCTGGAGTCTTACCAAGACCCAGGTAAGTATCAGGGACCGACCGGATGAAAGTGCGATTCCCCGTGCCGAGGCCTTCAGCTGAGGTAGGTGATCATAAGCCGTGCAGGTGGGAGCAGGGAGGATACTCTCCACTTGTTCTCACGGTAGAGTTTAGGACCCCACAGGGATGACAGCTAGTCGCCCTGGGGGAAGGGGGGTGTTATTGGGAAACTAGTTGTGTTTTGTAGGCCGCGTTTTTGAGTTTAAACCCCGAATATCGTCGTGTATGTTTTGGATAGAAAGTTTCTATTGTATTAATGTAATTTGCTTATATTGTTTATTGAGTTTGAAACGCGTTAATGATTTTGAACCGCGAATATGTGTGAAAAGAGTGTTCTAATGTATTGGTTTACATTGTTTATATTTGTTAATTTGTTTATATTGTTTATTAACATGATCAGGTCAATAAAGAGGTTTTTCTTTATTTTGATTTATTTAAAATGAAGTGTTTTCTTGATATTTTGTTATATTTTGTAATCCCCGTTTATGACCTTGGATTTCGGCGAGCTTCAGATTCGAGCAACGGGGGCGTTTGTGTCGCAGTATACGTTCATTTGTTTTAGTTTATTTAAAAACACTCAAAAATTACCCGTTACAAGATGAATGATTTTTATTAATTTATTTTTAAATATCAAAATTGTAAAATTAGATTTTTTATTCAATTATTTATGTCCGAAATTTTATTTTCTCTTTCTCGATTAATTAATTTTAATTTATCATCTAAATTGTTTGATTTATAGTGAATATTTTGATAAATATTTAAAACATCTCAACCAGAAAATTTTTTTTGTTCATAAAAAAAGATATTTATATTAAAAATGCGTCTTGAGTAATATAAAGAAAATCGATTTCAATCTAATAAAAGGCAGCAATAGTTCTTTAAAAGGTTTACTTTGAGTTAAGAAGTACACTTTAAGATTATATTTGTTTATAAAAACAATGAATGATATATGACTCGGTAAATAGAAATAATAATATTTAAACTTTAAGTGTGGAATCAATTCTTCAAAAGAACTTAAATATAATATAAAATATTTAATATAATAGAAAAAGCAAGAATACTCTTCGATGTTTGAGATTACTTGGATATAAGATAAGTATATATTCATATCTATATGCTAAATATAGTATAGAAGAGGGTCAGGCGAAATTGAGAAGTTAAGTAAATACTGTATTTTTTTTTTTACTTCCAGTCCATTATATTTATCATTTTTTTACTTTCGAGTTAGATAATCTTCAGGAATCAAATTTGAGTGAACTTAGATTAATATCAAAATTTACTTAAGCAGATTATTACGACTTTGATTTAAAGATGTGGTCATTAATGTCTGGTACACTAAAGTACTATAATACCAGTGTACCTGAATTGTACCAGGCATTAATGACCGCATCTTTACCAAGATTACAGGCATTATGAATTTCAGAAAAACGATAATATTAAAAGATTTTTACTATTTTTAATATGTACTTACACACAACATTTAAAATCCAGGATTCTTCTAAAAATAAACCCTTAACATTTGGGTTTTCCGCTCTGCAAGTCACCGCTTTACGATTATCTTCTACATTAGGGACGAACTCAACCCTGCTGATCGTTAGATTTTGACTTCTTTCTTCCTAAAAATATTAAAACAAAAAATTCAATGACTTATTTTTTCTTATTAATGACATGTAATAATAGTAGTGCCCAAAGTAATGTTATTTGTATAATTAAATTAAAATGCGATTAATTTAAGATAATTCTCCATCATAGCCAACTCAAGTTGTCAATCTATTAGAAACTCAGTATTAGTTTATCAAGTTACTCAAACTGTCAATGACGTTTTATCAATAGCGTCGTTACTAGTTCGGCAATGACATTCAATTAGTAGCTTTTGATATACATAATAAGAAACTTAACGTTATACATTTGATGTACTTATTATATAACATATCGAGAGTACTCTAACAGCAAGACGTATTACAAAAATTTGTAATATCAAAAGATAATAATGCAAACGTTGTAACAAATATTTAAATAAAAATGTTAACATTAAAAATGGCAGTAGTCATCATCTGTGAATAAATAGAAAACATAAAAAATAGTTGAAAAATCAAATAACGGGGTTACTTCAGAGCCCCTAACTATTATTATTAGTTTTACCTCATTAAAAACACGATTCCTTTTTATATTTATAAATAAAACTTCAGATAAAGATTATTGAAATAAATTTAGATATTATTCTCGATACATATTTGTATGTGAAGTGCGCTATTTTGATAAGCTCAAAACTAGTGTCACGAGGGTATGATACATTCACTACCAAATAAAATCAACAGTTTATACACCAGAAAGTAACAAATATTTTGATGAATAAATATTTTTCGCTGTTATGAGTTGTGATAATAATGCAATTTAATATTTATTTTAACTTTTTTTTTTATAAAAAAAAAACATTATGGCTGAACATTCAGATAATTTATTGATTACTAAAATGTGAGAAACGATTTTTCTGCTCTTCATAGTATTCGTTAGAGAAACTGTAGACACTAAAACAAATTGAATACTTATCAATCTTGACGATTTCTTAACTGTCAATCTTTACCTCTGCCATTAGCTATGCCGAAAACGTTTTACAAGGAAATTACACATGCAAAGTAAAAAGCTGCAGAAGATTGATATTTTCGGGTCGTTCAAATATCCACAAATTTTTAGTTATTGTTACTACCTAAGTAGAATTCTGTCTGAAAATTTGAGGTTAAAGCCAATCATTAGCTAACCACGATCCTGTACGAAAATCCTAACTTTACAGGAAGTAAAGTTTATTTACAAGAGGTAAATGAATTCGATCAAAAACCAGTATATATTGATGCATCTTTTTAAAGAATTTGGCTAATATAAATTTATTTATTAATAAAGGAAGTTATGAAGTTACATTTTGAAAGTATTCTGTTGATATCTTATTTAAAAATGTAAAGAAATGAGCTAGTGATAGCAAATCTTAGTGAGCGCCTTGGAAAAAAGCTGCTATGCAGTATCAAAGACCGGAGAACTCATTACTGGATCATTTGAAATGAAAAAATAAAAAAACTATGATCAGTTGGTAATTTTTTCAAGATTACGCTGCTGAGTTCTTATTTGTTTTACTTTTTAGACTTTACGCAGCATTTGAAAGTCAAAATACCGATTTTTGATTAAAAAAAGTCAACAATTCAGCTAATATAAAAATTATTTATAATTGAACAAAAAAATAACTTGACAGCTTTATCTCGCTGGTAATGGCCCGTGTAAAAATGATATGATATCTTTATGAGGCTCATAATGAATATCATAATGAATCTCATATTTTGGCACTAATATGAGATTCATATAAGAGCCATATCAATACTTTAGAAACCCGTAATAAGTAAAATACCTGTGGGAACGAATTTTTTTTCAGTAGATCAGTAAAAATTTCATTTTTTCTGTTAATCAGAGGAAATGTATAATAATTGAGAAAAACAGTATTTTTATCATGCACTATATTGTTGAACTACTTAAATATCATTATGATATTATTATGATTTTATAAAGATATGACCATCATTTAATTATTAATTCATTTTAATATCATTATGATTTCATAATGAAATTATGTCAATATCATCATGGAGATACTGTCCTAAGGAATTTCCAACAGTTACAAAGAAGTTTTTTTCTTGAATTATGAATAGAAGGCAACAATATCATTACAATATTATGATGAATTTAAAAAAATATCAGCCTGATTCCATCATAAGTTTACGCAGTTACTATTATGACTTCAGTATGAAATTATGCGTTTGTCACTATGGATTTGTCACGAATCTCTATAAGACCGATCCGTGTGGATCAAATTTTATATTTAATAATAATTTTAAATTACTGGAAATTTGCTTTCTCCAACAAGAAAAATAAAAATTTTATAATCTAGTTAAAAAAATTCGTTTCCATAAGTATTTTACTTAATACAGGTTTCAAATATATTAATATGGCTTTTATATGAATCTCATATTAGTGCCAAAATATGAGATTCATTATGATATTCATTATGAGCCTCATAATGATATCATATCATTTTTACACGGGGGGTAGATAAAGTGTGCAGAGTTTGAAAAATATCGGTGCAGTAGATTTCGAGTTAAAGTGTTCACCGATTTCTTACCGCGCATGCGTTATAAACTGTGTGAGAGGGACAGAGACTAAAAAAGCTCTATTTCTCTCATTTTTGTTCTGATTGACTTGAAATTTTAACACAATAATCTTGAAATGCTGTACAATTATCTGACAAATTTTGAACAAATCAAAATAAAAAAATAACATTTTAGCCCTCCCTTAACTCTTTTGTGAATTCCCGTTTTCAGATCTCACCTTTTTAAACTTCGACCAAATAGATAGAAAGTTTAAATAGTTTCATGAACAAAGTTAATGAAAATAAGCTGAATGTATTGAAAATTCGATAATGTTAATGGTACAAAAAAAAAAAAAATAAATAAAGTACCAAACGAATGAGATAATCACAAGGTTACTACTGCACAGCTCTTGTTTGATTGGTAGATGTCGGGTGCACTTGACGTTTTCAATTTCGTATTCTGTCTGATTGCGTTAAATTTGTCGTTACGGCTTTTACATTCACTTTACCCGAAATCTTGATTAGTTACTCAACCGAATATATTACCGTTAAATTGCGTCTCTTCACTTATTAACGAGATATTAAAAAAATAAAAAAAATATGGTGTTTCGTAAAGATTTTTAGATTTTATAAAGAAAGTCATAAACGAATAGATGATTCGTTCAAGTCTTATTACTTATCCAAATTTAGCATTACAATTTTTGTCTTATATATTCTTAATGCTATTAAAATTTTTAATAAAGTTCGAAAAACGTAGTAATGTCATTCATTGTTATTTCGAGTGTCAATCTGGGATTGTAAATTGTAACTGAAATCCTGGGGATCAGGACAAAATTTACGAGTGTACATAAATGTTTACAGTACTGTAAATAAAAAATATAGAGTCTTACTACTTTTTATTTTAAAAACAAATAAATTCAAGGTTTTAAGTTTGCAGTATTCTCGTGCTCCTATTGAAAGATTGATTTATAATTACAATATTTTTTTTTTCATCAATTTATATTTTTTTAAGATTTCTTTACCAATTGAAGAAAATTAGAAAAATTTATGATATTTAATTTAGTTTGATTGTTTAAAACTACTCAACATAAATGTTTAAGTAAAAAATATTTCTATACTAAGTTTGTTGTATCAATAAAAACCTCGGTCAAGTTCAGTTTATTAATTCCAAAGTTAAGTGATGATCAAATTCTCTCGATTGGATCTTATAATTACTTTTATGGCATTATCTCCAAGTAACATCGGCATAACTCCTACAGAAAGAAAAATAAAGGAAAAATTACAATAGTAATCTCGTAATCCAGGGCTAATCTTTCAATATTTCTCAACTCCTCTTTCCCAAATTTGTCGTAATGACAAATTACCATATTAAATATGGTTAAAAATTTTCTTTCTTTTTAATTTGAGTGATGGAAAAAAATTCTACTTTACTTCATGGTAGTTACTACTATGCTATTTAGGAAATATTACTATATCAACTTTTCAATATTACTACACAGAAAAAAATAAATAGTAAATGCAACATGATGCAGTCTTGATAAATGAACATGATGAAATCATGTTGCAGCCACATGATTTGTCATGTTTCGATAGCATGAGAAAAATCATGTGACAACAACATGATTTTCATGTAGCCTTAATAGCACAAAATTAAGCTGCAACAACTAAATATTTATGCTTCAGAAACATTATTTATTATAAAATAAGTAGGTTTTTTAGGATTTATAATATTGCAGATGAAAATAAGAGTAAATTACCGAATTATACAATTTGTGAACGATATTTTTGTTTATTCAAATTGTATACAATTTTTATTGCCAATTGCTTTGGTTTGTGATAAAAGCAATTAAATTATTATTAATTGTTACTATTTTCAAATTAAGTGTCTTGTTGCAACATAATTCAAGCCTTTTTTTTTATCGATAGACAAGGTACAATTGGAGGTAAAAGATTAAGGTTCCTTACATAATTAGCGTGACTATTTATTTTTACATTCCACGCATGATAATGACGATCAAATGATGTCGGTGTTATACCATACATGACAAGAAAAACATTGTTCGCTATTGCATCTGCAATATTATAAATCCGAAAAAATCTAGTTGCTTGATAATAAATAATTTTTTTGAACCATAAATATTTAGTTGTTGTAGCTTAATTTTATTCTATTAAGGCTGCATGAAAATCATGTTGCTGCCACATGATTTTTCTCATGCTACCACAACATGATTGTCATGTAGCCGAAACATGAAAATCATGTTTATTTACCGACTGCATCATGTTGCATTTACTATTTATTTTTTTCCGTGTACAGTAACATCGTACTTTTTCTTAAAGTGTATAAGACTGTGTGTAAGGTTAAGCAGTACAATTCTTTGAAAAGAATTTACGATGTTGCATCGTATAAATTCGGATGTTCAAGCGCTGGTTCGGCATTACACTGTCCTATACTAAAAATTACGATGTTTCCATAGTAATTTTAATATATTTTTCTTTCCGTGCATGTATCGCGATTCTGTAGATTGCATGTCATTAAATAAGCTACAATTTTGCCTATTAAATGTATAATTTCTCGTAAGTTTATAAATCTTAAGAGAACTCTCCAGTTAGTATCAAAAATGTCAACTCTATGGTGTAAAAATTGAGAAATCGATAACTTTCTATAACAGTTGTGGCCGAATGGTACTTTTTTTTTCATTTACATTCACTTTAAAATATTATTCAGCATGAATTAATCCGAAGAAAAACTGACTTATTTATGTACTACATACATTCAATTTATTTTTAATTGCTGAGCGGCGCAAAGTTCAAGAATTTATTAATAACGAAGCAAAAATCGATATATAGATTATTTTATTTTTGCGCATAAATATTTATGAATTGCTTTTAGTAAGAACGTTTTACAAATGAGATTGAATTATTTACATGTTTTTATTTTTATAAAATTAACTTACGCTGACGTGCTTGAGCGGATGTTTTCCTTTGTACCACGTTATTACCGCAGGCGGATTTGAACCAGTTGTCTCACATTCCAAGTCGTACCGATGGTTGGCTTGTAGAGATTCATTTTTATTTGCAGAGCCGGGTCTGCTTACTTTTATCGTCAAAGGTTTCACTGCAATAAAAATTTTACAACATAATTAAAAAAAAATATATATTTAATATTGATATTATAAATCTACATGTATAAAATATAATATGAAAAGCTTTTTATTCTGTTGATACATGTAGTTTGAAATAAAAAATATTGATCAAATTTTTACTTTAAAAAAAAAAATATGATAGTATTTACAAGCTTGATAATATAAAACAAAAATAATACTGTATACCTATACACAGATTTTAAATTGCTGTGAAGTGGACAGTGGTTGTTCTGAATTAGTGAACGGAAGTATCACTTGGACTGGAACGAGGAAATGATGAGTGTTTCGGAAAGAGTTAAACGCGTCGACGACTAGCATTCAATTGAATAAAAAAAAAACAAAAAAAAAAAAATAAACAAACGTTTAAATGATTTGCAAATAGTTTTTCTCCAATCAATTCCGAATTAGTTGTCGTTATAGTATTATCTCTTTTTTATTTCTCGCTGTAGAAATCGTATATTCTCAGAATTTCAGGCAATAGGTAATTGATTTTATTTGGTTTGAAACTTAAATATAGTTATTATTACTATTTTTGAATTCATACAAACTTATATGTGGACTTTTTCGATAATCTATGCATAAATTTTTTGTGATTTGACAAGAAATTCTGATTGAAGAAACAATGAAAAAAAATTTATGATGATATTGTTAAATCAGAATCGAATTTTACTGTAAAATTTTGTGTGGCCACTATACCTTTTTTGGTCTAGGGTAAGAAATTGGAAATAATTTGAAAAAAAAAAGTTTGTCAAGATGTTATTTTTTTTTCCTACCATCCAATACAATAATGGAAGCGTTCTTTTTCATATTATTAATTTTTAAAGTTTTCATTGTGAGGTAAACAAACCTAATTTTTGAGGTTACAAATAAGCTAAGTAACCTGTAGAACAAATTCACGTCTATGACATAGAAATTAAACTTGAATTAGGATAGTAGGATGCATTGAAACTTGTCGTTATTACCTTAAAATGCCATAAGCACTAGCAACGCAATCGGAAATGTGTGGGATGATAAGTAGGGTACTGTAATAGCTTTCTATCTTTCCCTAAACATAGTTTTCAAACTTCGATTCAACTTTTAGCTCATACAGTTACTGATAATCCATTAAATGGTGAGTACGGTGAATGCTAACGGAAATAGTAATTTCAACTGTTCGAAATTTGTTGAGCATCTCAAAAGCTGTTTTAGCTCTAGTTTTATTTAATCAATTGATTCACGTTGAATAATAATGAATGTCATTAACTTGAATCACTATTTTTTTAGAAGATGAATTTTTTTTTTCCACAATTAAATTGCATAAATTTGCTTTGTTACAGTTCTACCACTTGGAATTTATAAAAATTATGTTTTTAGTGATTAAATAAAGGAGTTAACATCAATAAATTATTTTTCTTACGCTCGCTAGTTAAGTTACTTTATTTTGCTCTTCTTAGTGGTAAAACCAAAAAGCTCAAAAGCTAATTTGTATCTGTTATTTGCAGCGAGATTTCTTTCCCGTTTTATTTTGTAGATTCAATCTATGGAGTAAGAATAAGAAGATAAGATAGGAGCATAATGATCTTAATTCGTTAACGCCAAGATAAACATTTGTTTTTATCTTGTTGGAACAAACTGTCCGACCCTTGTCTTCTTCACTGTCTTTCTACTTTCGTCGATATGTCTTTGTTCATCTTGACAACTTAAACTTAGTTTGTACTCATCTGATAAAACAATAAATAATATTTACCTACATTTTACATGCATATATTATGAGTGCACATTTTCTAACTAGTTATGGTAGTTTAACCAATCCGACTAGTTAGCAAATTTTACAGTAAAATTAGACAAAAATTTTATCATCAAGACAAATATGATAGTGTTAATTCAAAAAATAGTTTGGTGTATTTTGATTAGTTAATTTTTAAATTCACAAATCGTTATTTGATAGAAAAATAATTTTTCTTCATGTGCAATCACTGATCTTTAAAATAAAAAAAAAAATCCTTAAATTAAAACGACAATTTTACTTACTAAATTGTTTTATAAATAATACTTACAAATTAAATCTAATTTCACAGATTTTCTTTTTGATGGAACGAGGTCAGTATTTGACGCCTCGCAAGTAAAATTTGTTCCTAACGATTCCCGACGAAGTGACCTCACTGTCAATCTGAATAAACAATTTAAAAAATAAAACAGTATTACAGTGGTCGCTTAATATTGTACTAAATATAATTACTCACTTGTTCTCGATTACATCAAGCGAACTCGTTATAGACTCCTCGAAAGTTATATTTGGAACATGCCATTTTATCCGCGGTGTCGGTGACCCTGTAATTTTAATTTCAACAATTCTTTAATTAGTTATCTAATTGAATATGAATTTTTAGTAGACTGGAAAAAAAGTATAATCCCGAAGTCAATATTTTAGCAATATTTGTATAAGCTATGCACGAATACGATGTTTTAGTCCCACCACAATACGTATGAGCTCCATTGTCAAACGGATTTCTTAAAATTGAAAAGTAAAAGGTTATGATAGGAGGCATTATAAATGACATTATTAGGATAATAATAATAATATATATCCTTTCCATTTATTAATGTTTGTTACTAAAGATGTTGCAACTGATTTTTTAACAGTCAGTTAATGAAATAAAGTTTTAAAATATAAAAAATTTTAAAACTATATTAATCTAGCATATCAAAGTTTGTATAAGGAAAAAAATATTTCTATGCATTGCTATATATTTATTTATAATATCATTTTTTTGAATTATTCAATTTATTTTGAAATTAATTATTACAATGTAAGTTGCTAGGTATTTCCATACATTTGAACTGATAATATAATATAGGTTAAACGCACAAGTCTATTCTTAATTTCAGATATCACCGTTAAACAACGTAAACATATGAGTGAGTATAGATACGCGGGAATTTTCTCACTATCCTTAATGTTGACTTGCTATATTATCATACAAAAAATAAAAGCCCACCGTTGATACTAAGTATTGTCATGATTCAGATATTGATATTGGAACCACGTGAATACGTAATACATTTAGGAATTGAACTATTTTTTAGTGCATACGCTCAGAAATTTATGCTAATGTAATAATTACAATTAATATCGTTCATTTTTTATGATTTCCATCTTATATGATAATTTTATTATTCTTGATATTATCGATGTTATTTTTATCAGGATAAAAAAAATTAAAATTTTGATAAATTAATGTTTTTTGCAGAATTATAATTTCTGAACGTAATTACGTTGATTTTAGAAAAAAATTTTTTTGATGTACCCTTATGATTTTTCAATGATATCTTTTGCCGGTCTACGGCCTAATGACATCTATCATGTGATGTCAGTAAAGTGAGGCACATCATCACATAATGTGCGAATGATTACATTTACTCAAATAAAAATTGGAATTTTTTATCTTGTTAATAGTAATAATTATAAATATCTAAATATAATCGAGTGTTAATATTATTTTTCATCCGCGATAGTATCTGATACTATCTTGTATTTCAATGATTATCATCGAAAATTATATTGATTCCGAATCATGATGATACTGAGCATCATCATGTCAGTTTTCTTGATTTTACCTTCATTTGATAACAACCATTACTATAAATTTTTCACCGTGTAGTATATAAATGATGGTTAAAGTATAGTATAATTAAATTTATCCAGAAGCAGAGTTTTTTTTTTTATTGGTTTTTCAGTCTATTATTTTATCATTACACTAAGTACAGTTTTTGATAATAAAGGAAACGTATATTTTAAAGATTTAAGAATTAAAAATACAATGCTTCTTTATTTAAACAAGTTTCTTTTTTGAGGTAAGCTGATTGTGACAATGATAACAAAGTATTCAAAGGTTTTGGTATATTCCCAGCTTACTAAACATAGAATAAGTTCTTGGCAACTTTAAATTAGTCTATCCTCGTCAACATACCATGTATATATGTATATATTGAAGGGTCATAACGTCGAGACCAGCAGAGCGACGCTCAACCTTTTCAATACAGACATCTTGGCTCGAGAGCCAAAGCAAACTCACTAGATTTTTTTTTTAAATAAAAAAAGTATGTTCCATTTTCTTTATTTTTTTTTTATTTAGAGATTTTGCAAGTTGAAAGCTTGTCTCATTTATTGTCTTTCAGTGGATACGATAATAAAAGAGCATGTAGGAAGGGTCAAGTGTAACAAAAAAATATTTCTATTTATTCTACGTATAGATATTTGTATGTTATAGTTACGATTATTCGAAAAAAATTATTTAAAAAAATTAGGCTGTGAGAACAATTAACATTTGAGCAAAATATGTTTTACAAAAACTGTAGAAAATTTTAATTAAAAAAAAATTACTTTTCATGTCATGGAAAGATTAATTTCTACCATATTTCATTGAATATTTTTGATTTTTAAACATATTAAAATTTTTATCGAGATAAAAATAAAAAAAAATTTTTTTTAAGCTATCAATATTTTATTGTTTACATTTTTTCACTTGAGTTACGAAAATAAATGAAAAAAACTTGATATAATATATATTTTTTATCATTCTATCGATTACTTTAATAAAAATTTTATTTTTTCAATCCACTATCGAGAACAATTTGCTAAAATAAATTGATGGACGCTTTTATGTTGTATTCTAAAAAAAAATGTATACGTTCAAATATTTTTTAAATTCAAGTATAAAGCTGGATGATAAAATTAATTTATCTTTGTTTAGTTACATTCGAAATTGTTTACTAAGGTTGATATTTATTCGGAGGATGTTATATAATACTGTAATTTATATTTCAGCAAAGAGAAAAAATAGTTATGTAACAGTTGTAATATACGGAGTTTTGAAACGAGAAAACAGATTTCATCCTCTTACATTACTCTTATATCGTTGTTATTCAAGGAGCTTCTCGAACGGAGTTGCGTTTTAACTGCTTTGGCAACGTGACCGACTCGAGATCGATTTACTTCGGTCAATAACTTTTAGAGCTTATATACCTGTATACTCGTAACTTGGATTTATATTAAAAATCTTTTCGATAATCTCTTAAAATAATAGTTTACTTTTACAAATTAATTGCACAGTACTAAAAATTTATCCTCAGCTTGGCAGTAAATCGATCGAAAACTTTCCTCATCAGTAATCGAGATAAATGAATCGTTCATTAAAATAAATTTCTATAAGTCAATCCAATAAACATATAATGAATCAACAACTTTTATTCAACTTAAAATATTAATAAATTAAAAAAAAAATTATAACTCGTTAAATTTGGTCGAAGAAATAGTGAATAAGAGATTGAAATAACATAAAGAAAAAATAGATTTTAATTTAAAAATTAATCACAATAAAATTTCCTTCTTTCTGTAAAATCTTCAATTTCTAAAGCGGGAAATTAAAAAGATTAATGAAAAAAATGTTAAAATCTAGTCTGCGTGAAAGGATTGAGCGGAATAAAAGTTTATACACGTATATATGTATATAAAGTGATGCGAAAGACAAGAGCGGATGAGGGGCGAAAATAATCTTTTAAAGCGGTCGTAGAAGTTGCAGTAGTTATAAACAGAAATTTAGATCCAGTTGCCAAAGTAAACAGCGAAGAGCTTTACGGTACCCTACCCGACTACTCTCCTTTTGGCTTGCAACTCAAGCGATCTAAGCGCATCCTCTCTCGGCTTTTTTTTTCTCATTCTCTCTCTTTACTCCTCTTCTTCTGGCCTGACTAAACGTAGAACTTTTCACTTACCCTCGGTTACCGATAAAAAGTTGCTTGATCTAATAACTGACGACACTGTTACTTCCTACATCTTTACTATATATATACGTTATACTATCATACACTGTACTCCAACCGTGATTGGCGTGAGTCAAGTTTTAGTTTTAAACATACATACATATATATGGATCAAAAAAATATACGAGGGTAAAACCTGTTGTACACGAGAGAGAAAAGCCACGGCAACTTTTCTATTTACTCAATTTTTATTGATTTTGACGTTGAGTTACCGGAAAAAGTTGCATCACTTTATTCGATTACTTAAAACCTACCATACATACATACAATTATACATCAGTCTATTTCATAATTTTATCAGAAATTTTTCATTTTTAACTTAATATAATTTTATTGATAAAAAAAAAAACAAAAAAATGGTGGTATAAATGTAACGATATAAAATTAGCAATATTTTAACCACACGGAGAAAAATTAATTATACTACCTACTATATCAAAATAGTAACTCCTACTATCTAAAATGGTAATAAAATTAATTAGTAACAAAATAATAGGTGGTATCATTGACAATTGTAATAGTTACTATTAATAATGGTAACGATTACTATTGAAAATAATAATTGTAATTATTATAAATTATAACTGTTACAATTGAAGATGGTAACTGTAACCATCTCAGATTGTAAAAATTCTGAAAGAAAAAATAATATAAATTTACTTAATTAAATCGATTTTAACATAACTAGATAATAAACTCTACTATAAAATTTTCTCCGTGCATATTTTATGATTACTGTTCATGCACAGAAAAAAAAATTTACTTGATTTAAGAATTTTTCATCTTGATCCAAGACAACGAAACTCTTCAAAATTATTTTTTGGTTCAAGAATTTTTCTCTTAATTCAAGTTAATTTTTTTTCCAGTGTGCAAAAAATTTTACTCTCATGGATTTTAAATGTAGCTTAATGTATAAGGAGACTATATATTTTTTTATTTATTTATCACAAAATATTCAACTTTAATTAATAAAAATGAGAGAAAATACTGGTAACAGCGATGAAGAAAATCACTTGGGTATTGTAAATTCACGTGAGCTATTATCTGTTTTTTTTTTTTTTTTTTTTTTTTTTTTACATGGATTCAAGAAAATAATAAATCTTTGTTGAAATTCAGTAGAAATAAATTATTCTTATGAATTATCGTCAATTTATAGCTTATTTTACGGGTTACCTCAAAATATTTTCTAGTTATTTTTATTTCAACATAAAAAATGTAGTTCAAATAATGGCTATAAATGAAATTATTTTTATTTTTTGTGGACGAAAAGTAAAGTATTGCATTTATTGATCACAATATGCATGAACAGAAAAAAAAAATTTGCTTGAGTCGAGAAAATTATTGAGAAAGAACAAAAATTCAATTATCTCCGTTGATTTACAAGATTATTGTGGTTGGATAAGATTAAAATCTCAGTTATCTAGTCCAATGTAGCTTAAACGATGCGATAATTAAAATAAACTAATTCATTAACTTATAGACTACTGGTATCTCAGAAGAATAATACAATAGCTAATTATAAAGACAATACTAAAAATCAAATTCAAATAAAAGAGTCTACAGAAATTGACAATTTTTATAATTGTATCATGCTGAATTAAATATTCAGTTTAAAATATATAGGGTAGGGCGGGGCTAGTTGATCACTTTTTGATTCGACCTTCCATAACTTTAAGATGATGTATTGGATTTAATCAAGTCATGTACTGTTAGGTTCGTAATTTAG